CCCACCTCCCCCTTCCCCCGGCCAGCGGCAGGTTGTGGTTCGTCTCGAGGCAGTGCCCGCCGGCGACTCCAGGAGGCGGTTGGGGGCGTGGATTTGGTAAAAGTCGTGTCCTTTGGGAGATCTCGCGGTGGTTTGGTGGCAGGGCGGCGGCCCTGGCGGTGGGAGACGCGGCGGTCATGGGCGGACTGCGCGGCTCAGATGCGGGCGGGCATCTATGGCCGCTCGGGTGGCATAGCTGCGGGTGGCCATCGGACCGGGGAGGCGACGGAAGAGTTGAAGCACCGGAGTACATCACTTGCCCGGTACGCGCTCTGGTCGACGGTGATGGCGTCCGCGGACGTCGTGTTCCTCCTTGTAGGCTCCGTCGTGGGGCTCCTTCTCCTTCCTTCTAGCTCCGGGTGAAAGCTTGATCTTCGGATCGGATGGTGGCGACATTCCATGGTCGTACCCTTCTTGGAGGCATCGTCTTGGGGTCGTCGGTCCGGTGTGGTCCGTCACACTTCTTCTCGGTTGATCGGGCATCCTGTGGGTGCGTGGTAGTCGTTGAGGGTGTGTGTCGATGCCCGGCATCCTTGTATCTCGTCTTGGGTGTGTGTGGTGTGCGTTTGTATCGTTGGCTTGGTTGTGGATGTTGGTTGCTTTATAATCTAAAGCGGGGGAAAACCCTTTTTCTTAAGTATGCTGGTCTAGTGCAAGATCGTGCTGAGTTCTGTTCCAAGCAGTAGATGAGCTGCTAACCAGCAAAAACCATTTAGTGAGAAGTGTCTGAATTAAAGAAGTCAGAGAAGCCACATGAACATAGGGAAAACATACATGGAGACTCATATGAGATTTGGCAATGATATATTTCACTTGATTATTATGTATGATAAAGGCGAAAGGCTTCCAGGAGCTGCTGTACCTTCTGTCCGTCGCACATACATCAACAAAAACAAGGAGGCTCTCTGTCAAAATCCACAGCCTCCTGTGCCATTTTTCTTGTAGCAGTATAAAAATTCATGAGGAAACAATAGACGACCAGTATTACTAAGGGAGGAGTTAAGTAATTAGTATTACCTGAATTTTTTAGCGGTAGACTAGAGTACAACAAGCCCCCAGAGTCTGACTACCAACTGTGGCCATGCGATATTACTAATTTCTTTTAATAGTTCATAAAAGAGGAGTTCACCCTAAAAAAGATGAGTTGACTAATTTTTCACTTGCTTATTTTTTAAAAGAATAACCGGTAGCCAAGAAAGAAGACATGTGCGGTGTCAACCGCACTAGAGCAGTCAGTAACCATGTTTGGTGGCCTTGCCAGATGATATTTATTTTTCGCACTAGGACACATTGATGTTGATGATGATTTGTCTGTTCTTGATGCTGCTGACTTCCCCGTGCTTCCTAGTCCTATGAAAAAACATCAATTTGACATTTTGTTGAGCTTTTAAAGAATACTGTGTTTTGATCGATCCACCAAGCAAGTTCAGCTAGAATCGAGCTACATTTTGACCTCCAAGTACCATAGGACAACTCTGAACGAGATGTTGGGTGTTGGTGTGTGGAGCCGTAGCGGGTGGAATGTTTAGGTTAAGGTGTGTGCTGTGTGGGGGATGGGTCATGGGTCATGGGAGTGGCTGTGGACATTGTTTTATAGGATGGGGATGGATTGGTGGGTTATATATATAGGGTGCAGTGTTCGGTATAGTACATGACCTTTGCCTTGAGATAAGTTCCATGTAAATAAGATACCTGTTTGAAACCTCCGCTTATGCAGAGTCCTATCACTTACGATTTTGACCATCCGATCGGCAATAAACCAACAATTACAAATTGTTCTATGGTAGTGCACTTCCACGGAACAACCGAACTTAGCCTTCATGATTGACCACTGAAACATGATCGGATCACATGAATGGAATCAGAACATCAAGGTGCTTCTTTTTCGTTTACAATCCCTAATGAAAGGACGGTTGTGTAGAAGGGGTGAGGGATATTAAGAAGGTGATTAGAGGAAAATACCTGCAAACCACCTATAGCCACCTACCGCCAGAGCCACCAATTGAGAGTATCGCTCGGGCCTGGCTCGCTGGAAATGGTCGATTCGGCCGTTCCCAACGATATAGGTCTATAGGTACTTTAAGAACCGTGCAGTGTAGACCCTTTAGTGTTTGTACACAACCAAACAGCCCAACACCGAAAAAATCTGCATCCGATGGACCTGATTAAGGTATATGCAGGTAACCAAACACATCCTTAAAGAGCAACCGCATACAATGCGTCACCATGTGGTGGCTTACACCACCTCATATGACTTCACTTGAGCACCATTATGGGCAGCATGTTTCCACCAAATCCTCTAGACAACGCATGCTAATGTGTCCTAACTGAATTTAGAATTTTTCATGTAATCTTCATCATGCTATTTCTTATAGCTTCTCTCCTTCATTTTATATTTTATTGGACTAACT